ATTGTAAGATAATTTACTATTTCATTTCAGTTTGGGTCCATTTGAAATCAGAAAAGTGCTAGGGAAATAAAGTAAGTAGGAACTAGAGGGGAAATTTGGAAGGGAAGAACATTTGGGGGAAAATTAATAATGGTTTCAAGCTTGATATATGTTTAAACTCATTTTATACTATCCTCTGTTTTTTTAATCGCAACATGTTGAATTTTACACTATTCACATGTTCTACTTTGACTACATTTTACGATATTATTTTTACGATTTTTTTTAAATATTGTTCAATTCATCTCATTACAAATTTCAAAATCTAATTTTTAATTATTTTTACTAATAGAGATTAAGATATAATTACGGTCAAAGACGTGCGTTGGCAAGTGTGAAATGTTGACCGTTGCAACTAAAAAAGAACGGAGGAAGTGATTATTTCTAATATATAAACTCTAAGAAGTATATGTATAACTTAAGAAGTTTTAATCAAATACGATTCCACTCAAGGTAATACCCAACTTAAAGAACTATTATCCTTAACATTTTTTGTGTTACAAAACACTGCCTTTTATGTTTAACCTGCTGTTTTTTCATGTTTCTTATTTCCCTAAATTGTTGCAGATACAGTTGAAATAAAAAAAATTAATATCACTTTTTCTTTAATACTATTATCTTTTTTTTGTGTCTACATTTTATTATTTAAGATCCTAAGATTGTAAGATACATGACGAACAACCTGGCTTCAGTGCAGTCAAATCATCTTAATCCTGACTAATTGAAGCTGTTGATATGAAGTTTGTAGTTTTAATTTATTTTACAATTTTCTGTTTTACATCAATGGACTGATTTTGACCTTAGGTATACTGGAGGTAAATGAGGCATATGGAGCTGCGGTAAAAGCTGTGTCTGCTGATTCGGATGAAACTGCCCTGAAAACAGTCCATGCCAAAGCTAATGTGTTTTCGGAGGATCTCAGTGCAAATCGTAGCACAGCAATTGGGAAAGTTCAGGACGGGCTTCAGTTCTTGCCTTATTTGGTGGTCTCTACTTCAATGCCTGCTGCTTAAGGATTAGTAGATGCCACTGATGCTCAGTTATGTTGTTTTTAGTTTCTCAGTGTAAATAGTATCATATAGAAGGTGATTCACATGGTCTCCTTTCATACTGGCATAGTGGCACGTTCTAAATTTGCTTTTTCTTTCAAACAGACCCTTGCCCGTTTTCCCCAATTTTTTCCCAGGGAAGATACACAACACACCATGTATTAATGAAATCGAAGCAATTTACGTCTCGGTCACTGCTCGAAATCCCACATTTCCATTCGTTGTTAAATTTTAGTCATGTACCATGTACAATGCTTGTCTTACTAATGCCAGTTATTATCCAGAAACCAGATTCATACTTTGTAGTTGATCTTGCATGGACAAACCTCCTGTCAAATAAATCATATTTGTGGACTTGTGGTACTTCATTTGCTAGCTGTTAAATGTACCACCATTTCTTGAGTATTCCATTCCATGTTTAAATAACAAACAATAAGCTGTACACTGAAGAAAATTGATCCTTGCATGTCAACAGTTACTGCTTGCATATTGCACCAATCAAATGGTTCAAAAAAAAAATGGATCTTTTCATACTCTTACCTTTGTTTTCGGTGAAAGCGCTCCCTATCATTTTAGCCTTTTAGGTCTTCGCATACATACTAAGAAAGCAGTAATAACTTTTTTTCTACTCCCTCATTTTACCTATCATATTTTCCATTTTGAATTGTTTCAAAATAAGTGTCATATTTCTTTTTATGGAAATAAATATGTGATCTACAAAATTTTATTTTTTTATACTCAAATCTCAACCACAACTTTTATTTTTTCAACCACTTTATTAATAGTTGTGTCAAACACAAGAAATGGGAAGATTAGTCTTCTTTAAATCCTTCTACACATTCTGAAGCTAAAAGCTTTAATCTAGGTGTAAAGTCCCCATTATCAGAATCCAACATACTGTTTTTGTTTCTCACGAACAATCTTCCAACTCTTCTGGTTCCAAGAGAATATAGAGTGATCTCCTTAAGAGTTTAGAATAGAAACAAGTTAATACCTTTTATGGTAATTTACATTCAATAAACCCTTTCAGGCATAATATTGTCCAACACTTTCAATTCAGCAGTTTCGGCCAATTCAGACTTTCTAGTCGTTGCAACCGTCGCTAAACGAGGCCCAGATGGTCTTGAAGGAGGAAGGTGAAATGTTATTGGTTCACCCCCTCCTAAACCGCCGCCATGGAATGAACAAACGGCTAGTGTTTGAAAGTTTTTTACTAGTTATTCTTAAATGCTTAAATTTTTATGTTTCCCCTCAGGGCTTTAATTTATTTTTTCTCATCCAAACTAGTGACAAGAAGATAAATTTTTGGTATGAGTTTATTTGGATTGCTACTGAGAGGAAGTAATAAGGCTAACATGGCCGAAATTCGCTTCAAAGTGATTAGTCTTTCTCATTCTTGAGCACTCTATTCTATGTCATTAGGGAGTGAGAGTATCAATTGATTATAATGAGTCTAGATGATGGGTGAGGGTATACGACAAGCATGCATGATGTATGATTGGTTGATTTTATGATTTTAATATAAATGTTCTTCTTTAAGAAAAAGAGAACAACTCAAATAAGAAAAAATTTCATATAGTAGTTTGTATACACAACAATGAGAGTTTCTTTATGGTAAAAATAAGAGCGTGACTTTCTTTAAAAATAAAAACGCCAATTTTATTAATTTAACAAATGGTTCGCAATTATAATTAGCCAATAACTTAAACTCCAACTACCTTGTAAAAAACTCCATCTAGATTCAAGGGAAGCTCTACGATCAGATTCTAAGACGGTCACCCCCAAAGAAGCAACATGATCGCTAGCCACAAAACAAGCAACATAGATTTTTTCCAGACCTTTAAGGTCACCATACTCTTTACCACATCAGAAAATTCAAAATAGACGGAAAGTCCCCTCATTCCATGTTTTGAAAAGTTCACCTAAAATAGAGTGAAACTTTTCACTGAACATACAAGAGTTACAAGGCAAATAATTAACGACCATAAACAACTCAAAAAAACACTTAACACAAACAAAACGGAAAAAGTAAAATGTTTAAATAAACATAAATAAAGCTAAAAGAAATACGAAGTATAGAGCAATAAACCGTGCACAGTCAAAACCAAGCTTGGACCGGCAATACTATATCTTCATTCTCACCTTGCTCCTCATTTATCACATTCTCTGTCATGCCTTCACTTTCAGCATAAGAAAGCACGTCGCCAAACACCAATCACAATCACACAATAACTCTCATTTTGAATCTTTGCTCTTGCTGATAGGACATCAACCGATGCCTTCATCAAATGAATCTCAAATCGATTAAATAACTCTCTTAGAGCTAAGATGAAATCTATTGATTCACTCAAATCAGCACAACCACACACTTACAGAAAAATGATGGAACAAAGAATCCTTCTTTTAGATGAAAGGTAAATATATTATACGGAGTAGCACTAAAAAATAATATCAAACAATGTAACAAAACTATCTAAGCTAGCTATGGTAACTAAAATAGTTTCTAACCATTCAACCCCACCCACATAGGATTATAAACGAATTGAATCGAACTGAATACATGACAATATTATTTGTATAATTATCGAATATTTACATTTGTTTAATATTCGAATCTAATTTTATTATTCGTATTCGATTGGTTTGGTATATTCAAATATATTAGAATCTTTATCGAATCTTATTCGAATATTCGAATCAACATTTTTGAATTTGCATCACGAATCAAATCAAAATTATTCGATTTGCTTACAGCCCTACACAGACCCCCTGGCGAGAGATAGGCAGGTGAGAGAATTTTTTTGGTTGTCCATTCAGAAGAAAATAGTTCAAAAACGCATCCAAGCTAGCACGACACAGGCCCCCGACTTAGCATTAAACATCAAGAAAAAGTAACCAACCAATTTGGGCCCAACCTATGACACCTAAGGATAATTCTAAATGCAATCCATTTTTTGTTAAACACAACCTCCTTTTTAAATTCGTTTTCAACAAACAAGTTAAATTTACAAACTTGCCCTCAGTAAATATATTCTTTTCTACCGCTAAAGCAAAGCCCGAACGCTATACCACTCTGTATGAATATGTCTTCCGTGACTGACAAGCAACTTCATAAACGAGGCTTAACGGCAAAGGAAGTGGAGGCTACGATGCTGGGTGTCATGAAGCAGGTTGTGTTTAGCAAAATATGGACTGCATTTAGAATTACTAAAAACAGCAAAGGGAGCCCAAACTAGCAGTGGTCTGGAAACGAGTAATCCAAGCACAACATCAGCCCAGCGAACCAGGAAGCCCCAAGCCCAGCAAACAATCAAAAACATTCCATGGATTCAGACATGTGAACTCCCATTCCCTTCCGTATCATCTGTACAAAACAGCAGCGCTCAGGTTCAAGTGCAGGTCTAGTAGCGCGTCCAGTCCATGCACAACCCACTAGGGTTTGCATCAGAGAAACGGGTCAAGCCCAATCTCCAGCCCGCCTCTATTAGTAAGGAGTGCGCCGCCAAGGTATTTCAAGTAACAAAACTTTCATTAATCTATCTACTATGCTCGATCAAGAGCATTTATAATTTAAGACACTTTTACTTGAAATTTGAAAGATCTGGTCGGATTTGATATGCGTTGATCTGATTTTCGTAGCGTGTCTTTAAAAGTTAATTCCGTGTTTGGTCTCATTATATATTCCGTATTTTCAATTTTTTAGGCTCTCTTTTTTTGAAATTGGTCAAAGCTTAACTGACACCAAAAATAATAAAATAAAAATTATGTGATTAAAATTTGTGTAAAGAATATAAATAATGAAATACGCAGTACTCCGTATAATTTTATTTTATTTTCAAAATAAAAATTATTTGATATGGGAATACTTGACTTAATCTGTAGTAGTAGAACGTTTTCTACGTACAACAAAATGACAAATTTAAGGAAAAAAGAATATTCCTGTGGCGGAATTGCGGAATTTACTCAATTGCATTGATACTGTTGGCTGATGCTGGTCGGCGTTCTAAACTTTTACGGAGTACTTCTCTGATCAACTTATTAGTCTTCCCAGGTTTGATACAAGCCTACAACCAGTTTTCTTCTTTCACCCAGTTTCCAGTTTTACCCAAGGTAGGAGATGAATTCCTTAGCTTCATTCGGGTCGACTTACCTCGATCGTGGCTGCTCTCTGAATTTCCAGGTTAGTTCGCCCAGCCCCTCAAGATTCGCAAGATTTCATTTTGTAAAGAGGTTGAATGCCTAATTGAGTGAATTTTAGGGTGAATGGAAGAGTTCAAAGCTAAGGAAACTCTGCGTGAGAGCTTCTTCAGCGGCTGCCCAAGCTCAACAATCTGAAAAGTTTCGAATAGGTGTTCTTGGAGCTAGTGGCTATACTGGTTCAGAGGTAACTTGATTTTGCTGTCGTCTGATGAAATCTCATTAATAGAGACATACACTTTTGCATCGTTGTCCCACCAGTTTTGATGGACTTGTCTTAATTAATAGCTTTGAAAAGGCACTGCTTTGCATAGGAAGCTGTTTGATATTTTTGAGATGGTCACATGGTCTCAATTCTGGAACTTGAATTCCATATTGATCTTTAAACAATTGGATGTAATCCAACAAGTTGATCTGTAAATTCTAATGTGGATGTTTTATTCTAAAATTGTTGTTTGTATTCTTGTTTGTATTCTAATTTGGAGTACTCCTGGTAGGCTGACTTTTTAGTATAGAACTACATTAATGTGTTAACAGAATCCATTATACTCCTACTAGCGTCTAGATCTGACTACTACTCTATTCAATTTGACATTGACTATAAGACCTTTCACTACTTCTCTTATCAGTTTGACCTTTTTACAATAAAGCTGTGGACCTTAATAATATAGACTCATAGCAGAACAATAAAGGTCATGATTCCCCAACCTTTTGCAGATTATCAGACTCCTAGCGAATCATCCACAATTCAAGATTACTCTAATGACTGCAGACAGAAAAGCTGGACAATCAATAGAGTCAGTTTTTCCTCACTTGGTTTCACAAGTAAGGATTTTTAAATTTTCTCTGTTTTTTTTTTTCATTTTTACCCTCTTTAATTGTGTTCTTTTTCAGGATTTGCCAAATCTGGTTTCTGTCAAGGATGCAGATTTTTCCTCTGTGGATGCTGTGTTTTGTTGTTTACCACATGGAACGACCCAGGTTTTAAACAACTTCTTTTTAGCCATGCAGCATAGTCATTTGTTTTAACTGATATCTATTGATGCAAAGTTTCCTATATGATCTTGCGACGGTGCTAATTGCTATATTTGTTTTATAAAAGGAAATCATCAAAGGTCTGCCAACTAGTCTAAAAGTGGTTGATCTGTCTGCGGTATGCCTACTGTATCATTTTTCTTCTACTCTGCACTATGTCACAAGCATTCTCTTTTGATACTATTGATTAAAAATTATCAACTACCTGACTGATGAAATGTGTAGGATTTCAGATTGCGTGATGTTGCTGAATATGATGAATGGTATGGTCAGCCTCATAGAGCACCGGAGTTGCAGGTGTATACATTATAAGTTCTTTGTGAATAGTCACTTTGAATAACTCCATCACACAATGACAATGACATTGATTTTTTCCACTTTTGGTCCTTTCTGGCCACCGATCTGGCATAAATCAACCGGAAGTTTTCGAAAGAATAAACTGGATTAGTGGTCGGAAGGACCATAAGTGATAAAGAGTCTATAGTTCTTGTGGGAATGATCTAATAGTCGCAGAACAAAAGAAAAAAATATTTTCTTTAAAACATGACATCGAAGAATGTGCAACAATAGAACTATAGAATTTATTGACAAAATTCAGTCTTCTCTAGTTTTGATTTTCTTTTTTGTTCTTGTGAAGCTTGATTTAAATACAGTGATTTTCTTTATATGGTAAGACTATCTTAGGTGACACTTTCTTCTACTTGTGTGCAGAAAGAAGTAGTATATGGTTTGACTGAGATTTACAGAGCAGATATTAATGATGCACGATTAGTTGCAAATCCTGGCTGTTATCCATCATCTGTTCAACTCCCTCTAATTCCATTGATAAAGGTTGTTCTTTAGTTGAAACATATCATGAAGTTTTTCTGCAAGTTAGTTCAGAGAAGTCTCATGTTTATCTTCAATACATAGTCAACTAGGCATCTTAATAGTAGCCCGCATTTTCTTGTGCCATTTCGGATGTTCTAACTTCTAGAGCTTGCATCTTTTCAATTCTTTATTTTCTTTGAATTGTTTTCTCAACTGCTGCAGGCTAACCTCATTGAGTTAAAAAACATCATAATTGACGCGAAATCTGGTGTTAGTGGAGCAGGTTTGTTTATATAAGAAAAGATAGTCATCCTTCAAAGATATTCATGTATATATACATTACTTGAAGAAGAACATAGTAACTACCTACACTTCTGTCTTCTTACAGGACGTGGTGCAAAAGAGGCCAATCTGTACACTGAAATAGCAGAAGGGATACATTCTTATGGCATTACAAGGCATCGCCATGGTGAGTAGTCAAAATGCTTAAGATCTCCATGTGAACAATATGCTACTCGATAGATTAGAGTAATTGCATGTTGCCATTATACTGATTATAGTAATTAACTATAGTGATGCATAAGTTATACATGTAATTGATAATATTATAGTGAAGAGAAAGCAGGACTTTTGGCCAACTTCTATGAGTGATTGGTCATTTTGTTCCCTTGAATGAAAAATTGCAAAAACAACCCCGACTTTTCAAGATTGTGGCAGTTTATCTTATATGGAACAGAATCCCAAGAGGCCAAGACAATATGATAAGGTGAAAATGATTTAAAAAATAAGACAATGTAAGTTGCATTCTCATAACTCTAGACTTCGTTGGGACCCAGCAAAATGCTAGGCAAAGAAAAAAGGCAGAGAAATTAGATAGCAGTGCTGGAAGGAAATAAAATTCCGGAGAATAATAATAATTTGTTACAATTCAATTAATCAATTTGTATGTATTTATCATACTGATTTAGATTATTTATTTATTTATTTATTTATTTATTTATTTATTTATTTATTTATTTATTTATTTATTTGTTTGTTTGTTTGTTTGTTTGTTTGTTTGTTTGTTTATTTGTTTGTTTGTTTGTTTGTTTGTTTGTTTGTTTGTTTGTTTGTTTATTTATTTATTTATTTATTTATTTATTTATTTATTTATTTATTTATTTATTTATTTATTTATTTATTTATTTATTTATTTATTTATTTATTTATTTATTTATTTATTTATTTATTTATTTATTTATTTATTTATTTATTTATTTATTTATTTATTTATTTATTTATTTATTTATTTATTTATTTATTTATTTATTTATTTATTTATTTATTTATTTATTTATTTATTTATTTATTTATTTATTTATTTATTTATTTATTTATTTATTTATTTATTTATTTATTTATTTATTTATTTATTTATTTATTTATTTATTTATTTATTTATTTATTTATTTATTTATTTATTTATTTATTTATTTATTTATTTATTTATTTATTTATTTATTTATTTATTTATTTATTTATTTATTTATTTATTTATTTATTTATTTATTTATTTATTTATTTATTTATTTATTTATTTATTTATTTATTTATTTATTTATTTATTTATTTATTTATTTATTTATTTATTTATTTATTTATTTATTTATTTATTTATTTATTTATTTATTTATTTATTTATTTATTTATTTATTTATTTATTTATTTATTTATTTATTTATTTATTTATTTATTTATTTATTTATTTATTTATTTATTTATTTATTTATTTATTTATTTATTTATTTATTTATTTATTTATTTATTTATTTATTTATTTATTTATTTATTTATTTATTTATTTATTTATTTATTTATTTATTTATTTATTTATTTATTTATTTATTTATTTATTTATTTATTTATTTATTTATTTATTTATTTATTTATTTATTTATTTATTTATTTATTTATTTATTTATTTATTTATTTATTTATTTATTTATTTATTTATTTATTTATTTATTTATTTATTTATTTATTTATTTATTTATTTATTTATTTATTTATTTATTTATTTATTTATTTATTTATTTATTTATTTATTTATTTATTTATTTATTTATTTATTTATTTATTTATTTATTTATTTATTTATTTATTTATTTATTTATTTATTTATTTATTTATTTATTTATTTATTTATTTATTTATTTATTTATTTATTTATTTATTTATTTATTTATTTATTTATTTATTTATTTATTTATTTATTTATTTATTTATTTATTTATTTATTTATTTATTTATTTATTTATTTATTTATTTATTTATTTATTTATTTATTTATTTATTTATTTATTTATTTATTTATTTATTTATTTATTTATTTATTTATTTATTTATTATATCACTATATCTAAACATGGAACATTTTAAAGATTTGTAATCATGTTCAATCATTTTTTTAATGTCAAACACTAAAAGAATAAAAGCAGCAATCTAAACATATGCAGTACATTCAAAGCATTAATCATATTTTCATTTTCCTTAATATTTACCGTGCTAAAACCGAATAGAAGAAAATAACTTTTCTTAGCATTTTCTCCCTTTCTGTAGCATTGTCCGGTGTAAAACCAAACAGAAGAGGATATCGTTTTTAGCATCCTTTCCCCCCTTCACCTAGCATTTTACAGGTTCCTCACCACCTTATTGCTTTTGGGTTTCTTTCCAACATAGTACGTATAACAGTGCCTTAGATTTCTATCTATCAAAGTACCAAAAGTATCTCAATTGACAAGTCGTGTAAAGTTAGAGGTATAGTGACGGACAAAAAGGCTAATGGTACATGTTTGGGGGGACAAAAGACAATTCTTCTCTTATAATAACAAAATAATCGTCACTCTGTTTCATATTTTTCTAAATTCTCCTTTCCATAGAGAACCATACACTATTCACCTTGCTTTTGTAATGCAAGTAATTTTGCACCCTGATGATGTGTATAATTCTGACTTTGAAGATGTTGAGAATTTTTCGGAGGATATTGTAGATATTCAATTAACCCTACTTTTTAAATCTGACCAATTTACATTTTCACTATGATAGGGGAGTATATTTTGCTCATATAAAAAATTGGCACAGCTGTAGGGAGCAGACAGCTTTATTGTCAGATCACTGAATAATCAGGGTTTATGTTTTGAGTTGCAGTTCCAGAGATTGAACAAGGATTGTCAGAAGCTGCAAATTCAAAAGTTACAATTAGTTTCACTCCACATTTGATGCCAATGGTAATAAGTTAAAACATTAAGGCTATCTTTGGGGGTTTGAATGGAAGGGGTGGTGTTGTTTTTTATTTTTAAATTATGAGATTGTAGGTGGTCTATGATAATAAATATTACTTTACTATTTATGTCTTTTATTTGTAGATAATTTTCAAATAAAAAAAATAATTCGCTACAACCCAACTCCAACCATAGCCTAAACCTGCTCTGCCCCAATTGATGCTTGGTTAGTTGGTTTCCTCATCTAATATGTAGTTATTTGTTTCTTTTACTCGTGAATTTCTAGAGCCGTGGTATGCAATCAACTATTTATGTAGAAATGGCTCCTGGAGTTACAACCGATGAGTTATACCAGCATTTAAGGAGCTTTTATGAGGTATGTTGCTTGTGACCCAGCTTTTGTTTTTAACTTCTGATTAACTATCACATTTGCAAATATTGGGAGTAAGCTCTTATTTGGATTGCTCTCTTATGTGGATATTTGTGAAGTGATAAATTCTGTTTTACTCATTGTCTTTTATGTGAAATTCCATAATAAATGGCTATCAAGATGATTTACACAATATGTAGACAATAGGCTTTTGGTTCTGAGGAGAGGGAGTGGAATTGATTTTTAACCCACTTTAATCCATCCAGAATGAAGAATTTGTAATATTGCTAAAGGGCAAAGAAGTCCCCCATACCCGACATGTCCGAGGATCCAATTACTGTCTCATGAATGTGTTTCCAGACCGAATCCCAGGGAGAGCTATAATAATATCAGTCGTAAGTCTGTTTTAGCATTATCCTGGACCAGTAGTTGCCTCCATTGTGTATGCACTAAATTTTGTATTGATCTTGTGGCAGATTGATAATCTCGTGAAGGGTGCCTCCGGTCAAGCCTTGCAGAACCTCAACTTAATGATGGGAATTCCTGAAAATTCAGGGCTTCATTGCATTCCTTTATTTCCTTGAGATGTTTTTTGTTTGACCTTATCACCCTGGTCACACATGTATCAATAGTTTTCTTCATGCCTTAATGATGAAATTCCCCTAAAGTTATAGGCTCAGATCCCCCAACAGGCCATTTTCCTCTAAAGCAAAAATAAGGTGTGCTAAAAAGCACCAAGTTTTAGGTTCACATCCCTAAATTTATGTCTGCATGGAATAAAGCAATAAAAAGGTGTGTATTACTTTTAGCACATTGTTTTTCTCATGCTAGTTGGTGGAGAGGCTGTGCATCATGTGATCACATTGAATTTCAATTGCTTTTCAATTTTCACAATGTCAGTGCATATATAACTATCCAAGAGGGGCAGAAGCCCTTTCCAAATCTTAGGTCCGACCAGATTGAGAGAAAAGATATGGACGGGGTTGAAAGCGGTTAGTTTTATTGGGTTTCCTTGTCCGGATTGATGACGATCACCCGGTGATGAATATCCTCGAGCTCCTCGACCAGATCATGAATAACGGGGATGTCTTCACACTCACAAGTTCGAGTTCATTGTTTGAGTTTTTCAAATAGCTCGGTGAAGGGTGCCGGCTTGGATATGTCATAATGTCATATAGGCCTTCAAGGCCAATTTTAATAGACTAATAGTCTTCGTGTTCTAAGAGCTTTCAAAGAATACCACAAGTCACAACCGTCTTTAGAAAATGCATGCAATCAATATGAACATATAATAGATTAGTAAATGTATTTCAGTATTTACTCCACTTTTTAATGGTTTGCCTACTGGGAATAAAAAAAAGTAGAGGTTGTGGCGTGTTTGGTCGACACGATTATGGACAAGTAATATTATTGATAGCATTAGGTTTTATATTGAATTATTGATAGCATCAAGACAAGATGGTGGGCATCTGGACAAGTAATACCATTGATGAGTGATCGCCAAAAAATAATCTAAATCTTAAAAATTATAATTTAACATTAAAACTATTTCACAATTTTAATTGCTGTCTGTAGACCAATAGTGATTATACCAACTATTCCATATTAATTGATTGATCAAGTCTGTTTTATACTTTATACGTGTGAGTGATGTGACCATATCAGCACTTTTTTAGCCTGATTATTTGTATGAAAATATAATTTTATTATATTTGATAATATTTAATTAATTGGATTCTAAAGTTAGGTTTATGGTTTCCTGTTTCCTCATAGTACAATTTTAGACATATAAACCTAATATACGCAATAAAAAGCAATTTAACAATAATATATAATCCAATAGTATATGTTTTTGTTCGTTCATTTTTTAAATTATATATATGAATAATTTTTTTTCTATAATTTAGTAGAACTTTTAGTGTTTTTTTTTTCTAAATCTTAAATACTAACAATTTTTTTTATATTATCATAAGGGAATTAATTTCATCATTTCTTCATAAAGGGATTTTTTTATCATTTCATAAAGGGAAAATTGAAACTACATATTCTACGTTTTGACGGTCTTCTCAAAACAATTACACCTTACGGTAATTCAAAATAATTTGACCTTTTCACCCTATTTTTATTGGTCTTTCTCATCTATTAATGATTTGCTATTTTAGATTTTTTGTTTTTCTGTTTTCTTTACTTCGAATCTCCCATCCCTAATTCATTCTTATTTATAATCTCTTTCCTTGTATAGCTAGGTTAGAGTATAAGAACTTTTTTGTTTTAATTTTTCTTCCTTTCTAGACGAAGATAACCGGTCTGTTCTTTATCTCCTGATTTTACATTTTCATTTTCCTTTATGCTTCCCTATTTGTTTTTATCATAAGATTGAGTTTTTTTTTACCGGACAGAGTTGATGGCATTAATAGTGCATTTACTGGATTTTTTATTTTTTATTGCTAGTTTTCATTTCTAAACAAAAAAAACCTAAGGCTAGTTTTCATTTCTTTTTCTATTTGTCATGACGTCTTGTCCGCGTTATTAAAAGAGACATATTTAGAGTTGCTGGCATTAATTGCAATTGGATCTTTTATTGTCAATTTTTAATTTTTTTTCTATTTGTTGTGACCTATTGTCCGCCTTATTAAAAGAGACATATTTTTCGTGAACTTTCATTTTTTCTTCTATTTGAATCTTCACCAAATAGAAATATATTTAGAGACAAAAGAAGTGAAAGTTTGTTTCATTATTAATGAAACATTATTTGATAACAATTAATGATTAAATACGGATCTAATTAATAGCTGTAAGTTATATAAATAAGATACTAGCTAAATGAGAATAAAGACATTCAATATAAATAAAATTATCAGAAAAACAATAGAAACATACACACATAATAAGAGACATGACACAATCAAGTTAAAAAATATTTTAATTTAGAATATGAAATAGAGTATTACTATGGGTACAATATATTAATGTGTGATAAATTCGAATGCAGATATTATAAAAAAACAATGATAATAATTTGTACTTGCCCACAAAACATGGCCAAAATTGACTTACATGTGCAATAACAAAGTACATGGTTGTGATTTGCGCATATCTAAGGTAAGGAAAACAATTTAAACACATATTTATTACTTTAATGTAGGGCTGGACTCGGTTCGGGCCCGGTTCGGGCCTTGAACCGGCCGGGCCTCGGTTCACCAAAAGGAGGGCCCGGACCCGAACCGACGGTGACCGGTTCCGGGCCGGTTCACCCGCGCCCTATTTTTTTTTTTTTTTTTTTGATTTTTTGGCTTCTCTTATTTAACCCCCTACCCCTCAACCCCAAACCACCCCAAACCACCCCAAACCACCTCAAATTGTCCAAAATACCTAATCCAACCCAAAAATTAAAAAAATCTCAAAAAAAATAAAAAAAAATTAATTCCGGCCCGGACCGGGCCCGAACCGGCCGGGCCGGTTCACCAAATGGAGGGCCCGGGCCCGGAACCGGTATTCACCGGGCCGGTTCGACCCGAACCGCCGGTGGACCGGGCCACCAGGCCGGGCCGGTTGCTACAGTGGCCGGGCCGGGCCGGTTCCGGGTCGGGCCGCCCGGCCCGAGTCCAGCACTACTTTAATGGAAAGGGCATTTTTTGGGGGTGATTGCATAAACAAAATTAGCAAAGTTTTGCGGGATGAGGAGTAATTGTTATTGATAATCAGTTGCAAAATATAATAAAAAATGCATTCACTTAATTCTACTATATATATCCATTAGTATATAAGTAATTTTTTAAAAAAAGAATTGAATCGTTACTATTTGAATAATTAATATTTTTATATCATACATACTCATTTAAATATATTAATTTATATTTAAAAAAGAATTGAATCGTTACTATAAGTATATAATCAACTTTTTATATGAATCTTACCATTTAAATATTATTATGTAATTAATTTTAAAATAATCTCAAAATTCATTTATGTTTCTCAATCATCATCTTCAAATAATCTGCTTTTCTCTGCCCTGCATTAATCTCTATTACATATACATTTCAAATAATCTTAAAATAATCCAGATTCATATTTTGATCCCAGATTATTCTAACAAATAATTCCATTAAATAATCTATGTCACTCAATGATAATATTCTAAAAAACCCGCCATGTCACCAATATAATCTCATAATAATCCTGTCAATGAGGATGCCCTAACTGACCCATCTAAAAGATACAATTTCTTGAACGTACCGTAGAATTTGTCTTATAAACATGAAAATATTTGAAGTGATAGTATCTATTTTCTTATAATATTTTTAGGCAAAATTTTGATTGTGTAATTATTAACAATATTTTCATAATAAAGATATTATATGACCCACATACAATATATACAAAAACTGATTTGTTTGTGAATAGGCTATTCACCAATAAAAAATAGTTGCTCATATACGTGTGTAAGATGATGTATACAAAAAATGTGTACAAATAGGTTTGGGAAAACTATCAAATAAGCCCCCGTATTATGTCGGAAAAGTCGATTAGGCCCTCGTACTTTACAAACACTCAATTAAGTCCTCGAACTATTAAAAAACGTTCAATTAAGCCCTTGTGGTCGGTAAGTAATCGGTTTCCCGGTTAAACGCCGACGACGGCAACGATGTGCTCGAACCCCAGCAACGGCGGCTGCCGGGAAACGGGTTACATTTAACTGGGAAACCGGTTACTAACTGACCAAAAAGGCTTAATTGGACGTTTTTTAATAGTTCGAGAACTTAATTGAGTGTTTGTAACGTACGAGGGCCTAATCGACTTTTTCTGTATAGTACGGGGGCTTATTTGATAGTTTTCCCAATAAGTTTCTTTCATAGAGAATGTCCTAGCAATTGAATACTTAGCCGCGGTGACTAGAGCCTTAACTGCAATGACTAGAAAACCTAAGATATGCCGATTCCGGCAATTCATTATATCCATCCCACCAGAGGAGTTTTTGAACGGGTGAAAGCAGTTCTGCAAAACAAGACCCACCAATTAAAGGGCCACCGTTTTTGGGAAATTCATTATTACGTAATATTATATAATAGTATTATAAATTAATACGTATAAGTAAAATAATGTAGATTTATCATTGTTTATTGAGATAAGGGTCAGATAGAGTCTCGAACTTGAAAAAAAATGTCAAATAAGGCCATATTTAGGATGCTCTGTCCGGCCGACGCCGGGGTGGTTCCCGGTAGAATTTTTTGATGAAGTTTTTTGAGAATCTTATTCATTAAGTCTAGTTTACTCATATCAAATTTGAACTAAAAGTTTAATCGGGAAGGCATTCAAATGAATTCTTGAAAATAACTGTACCGTTAAAAGCGCAGTTATCTTCATGAATTCATTTGAATGCCTTCCCGATTGAATTGTTAGTTCAAATTTGATATGAGTAAACTAGACTTAATGAATAAGATTCTCAAAAAATTTCATCAAAAAATTCCATCGGGAACCACCCCAAATGGCGTCGGCCGGACAGAGCAACCTAAATATGGCCTTATTTGACATTTTTTTTCAAGTTCGAGGCCCTATCTGACCCTTATCCCTTGTTTATTCGTCGGTCCTTTTAGTCATCTGTTACTCAAATTGTTTGACTAATGGATTGTGTTCTTTTAATTCATGTATTAAGTAACTTTTACTTTTTTTTAATTGCATTGCTTAATGAGTATTCAATTGATTTAAGTATTAACATTTAGATTGAGATTTTTTATGTTAATGTGGGGCCTTAAAAGCGCTTAAATTGATTTTTTTATGTTAATGTGGTGCCTTAATTTTGCATTTGGAATGAGGGCATCTGAATTCAATAGACAGTCTCAGAGTCATGATCCCACCGCAGTGACTTATGCCTAGACAATATCGGTGGAATGTGTAGTAATTATCGGCATTATCACTACACTAACTGGCTAAAAAGTTGTGTAGTCACCACAAGATTTATAATTAGTAATTTCATGGTCACTGTTGACTGTGGGATGGACCGGATGGTGGCAGAATGGAAGCAGTTGTAGTGATGGCGGTGGCGGCAACTAGAAGTGGGCACAAGATCTGACCCGATCCGTAATTGTATCGAACCGAATACCAAATATTTAAATGGTTCTATAGATTGTTATCTCAAACCAAAATCGTATCATTTGAAATGAGTATGATACGTGTCGTAAATTTTAAGAGCCAAAGAATACCGGAGCGCACCCTAAAACTTACAAGTTTTAGGCCTCTTTCATTTGAGGTTCTTCCGGGTCTAATTTTTCAATAAACTTTTGTGAGCATATTCCCAATGAAATGTAGGTTATGCCTACCAAATTTCAACTCAAAATTCAATCGGGAAGTCAATTAACTAAATTATTGACAAAAACTGCATGTTATATGTATAAAAACTGCCCAATTAAAAAAAAATTAAATACCTTCCCAATTAAATTTTAATCTGAGTTTTGGTAGATATAATATGCACTTCAGGGAGAACATTCTCACTAAATTTCATCAAAAAATTCATCCCGGAAGCCCCTCAACTGAATGAGGCCTAAAATTTTAACTTTTAGACCTCCCTTACATGAATATACCTAAAATTTTAACTTTTAGGTCCCTCAACTTTGACATAATTATATCTTCTCCATACATATAAATATCTTATTCATACCCAAAATGTTATAACCCAAATATGTATTCATTTGTCACTAAAATAGCTAAATGTGTGACTATATAATTTTTTTATTTGTTCCTTTTAGATAATACTCTGTATAATTTATGTTACATTTTTAAGTATATTGAAAGAATGCTAAAGTTTTAATAATGTATGAATAACTATTAATCATATTTTTTAGTTTTGCAACTTAATTAAAAAGGATAAGTCTTAACTTTCACGGTGTAGCTATAAATTAGAACCAATATTCAACCTTTATGCTACATAAGGTTGAATATATAATCCATCAGCTAGATAATATCTTTATTATATTCAAAATACTAAATTCAATGAAAGTTATATTTTGACCTGAATTTAATCAAGATTATGTATTTGATGGATTATCATTTTTCCATTTTTCCTAAATTGTGTTGAAACCTTAGGAAACTCATGGTAAAAAATGTAAGACTCTTGAATCTTAGGCAGAATTTAGTATGCTCTTTCTTGTACGTTTTACTTATCAGAAATGTGAACTTTTCGATATAATGATATATACTAATTGCAATATTTTTCCAAAATTTTTAACATTAGTTTGACATTGTATCATATTGTTTTGTACCATTCTGAAATGGTAGGGTATGGAATGATTATGTCTTTAGAATCGGACTCTGCAACAAAATCTAAGGAGTACATTATGAGTTTTGATATAAGCATTCCAGGTTGCGCCTAGCCCTAGCGGCAACAACAATGGTTGTGCTGGTCAGCGGGGTGGTTGGATGACATTAATCAATTGTTAATTGTAATAATTGCAACATTACAATAATAATTGAGATACTAAGTGAAGAGAATAAAAAAAAGAATCACATCCCATATCTAAGGGCCCCCAACACCGACCGGATGACACGATGGAAGGATGTAAATTGGACTATAATCACAATTTGACAGATAGAGAGTGAGGCTCCGTCCCCAATACTTGTAGAGGCCCTATGCATTTTTAGCATAGTAACCTCTCATCGCAGTTGCCGAAATTCAAACCCGGGACCTAACCCTTGTGGCACTCCCTCGGAACCTCTATATAATTTGCAATTGTTATCCCGCCATAAAACCAACTTTTTTTGTCATTTCTATATTCCATATTTTTTTCCATTGTGCTACACTATTTTCACAAATTAAAGAGACTTATGCATTCAAAACTCAAAAACCAATAATTTTAGGGAAAATGTGCAAATAAGCTCTGAAAGACATTTGACTGCCTTCCCGATTGAATTTTTATCTGAAATTTGGCATGAGTAAATTAGACTTAATGAAGAAGATACTAAAAAATTTCATCAAAAAATTTCACTGGAAACTTCCCCAAATGACAACGGCCGGATGGAACCTCCTAAATAAAGGATAATTTGCACTTTTTTTATTAGTTCGAAGACTTATTTGTCCCTTTTCCCATAATTTTTAAGTGCTATAAAGTACGGATTAGTATTAGGATATTGTTTGAAGGTGTGAGAAAAGAAATAAAAAAAAGTTGAAAATGAGAAAAAAAATGAACCGTCCGAAATGTGGGGGAAAAGTTAAGTGATGAAAACCGAATACTCTGGATATTGGTATTTATATATATGGATTAAATATGCAGCAACCAGAAGCTGCAATCGCTTGATTCCCTTTGTTCCCCAAGAATCTCTGCCTTTTTCAACAAGCACTTTCTCTCCCTGACTCATTTTTCTCCCTTTTCTATGTGATTTGGCCTTAAATTTTATCTTCTCCATAAGCATCTGATCTTATTGAGTTATTGCCTCGAAGGATCTCGGGAATGGGTTCGGTTCCGCCTGAACTGAGCCTGGGTTGTAAGCCCGCCTCCGATTCCACAACGATCACTGGGTTTCTCCATGGAATCTCGACGATCGAAAGCGTATCCGATAGAGTGTCAAAAATCGATGATTATGTTAGGAGGCTTGAAGAAGAAATGCGGAAGATCGATGCCTTCAAACGCGAGCTCCCGCTATGCATGCTCCTTCTCAACGATGGTAAGGTTTTACCTATGAATTTGGGCGCCTCTGTGTATATATGTTTCTATTTCATAGGTCGTGTTAATAAGAGTCCTGTACTATTCAGTAGTACTGTGGATTTTGAGACTCTCTTTCGGACTCTGCCTGTTTGTTGGTTTATGTTCCGATTATGGGGGTTCAAAACATGAGGTTATTTATAATCTAGGTTTGGTCTATCTATGTGTTACTGTGTAGAAAACTTTCTTCATTGAAATGAGCTGTTAATTCATTAATTGGATATCCTCTGTGTTTTCTGATTGTGTGTTTCATAATATGATTTGAAAGTTTTATAATAATTCCAGCGATTATAAGCTTAAAAGAGGAAGCAGCGAAGTATAGGACAGCAAGGGTGGAACCAGTACTGGAGGAATTTATACCACTGAAGAAGTGCTCTAATGATGGGGATGACGGTGGAGATAGGATTGATATCAGGAAAGACAGAGAAAAAATGAATTGGATGAGCTCTGCAGTGCTATGGAATGGTGAAAACCTTTCAACCAATAACAAACACCACCCCGAACCTGAGCTTAAGATGGTAATAAAAACACTAGCTAATAGTCTTTTGGTTCTTAGTTTTACTATCTCTATACACATATATTGATTTTGATGATTCAAAACCTTTTTTGGTTCTAGACAACTGAGGAAGCAGAATATAGCTCAATAACCAATGATGTAACGATCCCTTGTAAAACCGGGAATACAGCAAATGGGTTTATTCCTTTCAAGAGTTACTCTGGTTTTCCAACAACTATAGTGAGGAAGCAAGAAAACAAGAAAGAATTACCAAATCTACCTCCTGATCTAATGCTTGGTGCACCTGTGTTTAAGAGCCCAAGGGAAGATTTGGGAATGATTGGTTGCTGTTCAAATAAAAATATGAGTAATAGTAATATCACCAAAGCTGCATCTTCTTGTACTTCATCAGTTAGTAGTATGCACAGTAGTAGCAGTAGGAAGGAAAGAAGATGTTGGACACCAGACTTACATAAGAGTTTTATCAATGCCCTCCAACAACTTGGGGGCGCACAAGGTTAGATTAATCCTCCCTGCTAAGAATGAATTACTTTGAATTTATATCGGGTTTCTTCATTATTTTACGCTTTTAATATTATTTTGTTTTGTGAATTTCCTTCATCAGTTGCAACACCCAAGCAGATTAGGGAGCTCATGCAAGTTGATGGCCTGACCAATGATGAAGTGAAGAGCCATTTGCAGGCAGGTTTAATCTCTTATTATATATTCTCTTCCCTTCCAAAACAAGGTGTCCTCGTACTCAAGTGTTCGAGTCAAGTTCACTTTCATTTAATCCCTTATTTTAAATAATAGATTTGTCAATTGTCATCGTATTTTACTTTGTCTTTTGGGGTCAATTGAACTTCCAATGTAGTTTCAAAATGTTTTGATTTTAATTATTAGTGATAATATTATTGGAAAATTAATTTTATCGTTAGTCAATCATAGCAAACCAAATTGAGAACCTTGACTTGAGGGCTTGTTATAAGAGTTTGGAGGGGAGGGGTCATTATTAATTATAAATAATTTCTACATTTAACTGGTTAGAAATGAAGTGAAGATTATAGACTACATGAAAATACATGATCTAACAAATCATATACGGAGTAGTTAGTTTTAGTTTGAAATTTAAACATAGATCATCATCATCGTCATTACCCCAGTGCCGCAAAGGCTCCCACCAACGATGGGGTAAAGGGGGGTCAGATGTACGCAGTCTTACCCCTGTACAAAGACCAGAGACTGTTTCCGGATGATCCATGGTGAAAATCGCGTTGGAAATTGCATGGACTGACCAGTTTAGTGAGTCAATTTGCTTTATTCCATCATATTCCCAAACCAAAAAATAACGAGTCATTGGCTCCATTGCAAATGATGGAATAAATTTAAACATAGATAGGTTAATAAAATAAAAATCAATCCTCCAATTCCATTTTCTCTAAAATTTATAAACCAAACAAGCCTTAATATGGGGCGGAGGGAGTATATACACGTAGTGACTGACACACACTCTTCTTCACCTCATGAGTTTGTATGTAATAATGATGATGAGAGCTTTTAATCTGATTGATTATTCCTGCAGAAGTATAGGCTCCACACTAGAAAACTTCCTCCATCCACATCCCCAAACCAATCTGTTGTTGTATTGGGGAACTTGTTTTTGGGACATCGCCATCATTTCCGTGAACCTGCAAAGCAGCAGAGCAGCCATGAGTCTGGTTCTCCCGAGTCACCTCTATGTCCCCGAGATGATGGCATTGAAGAAGAAGCTGATTACTGATCTGTATAAATTGTCAACAAATTTTGCAGGTGATAAAAGTATATATATACATATGTGGGAGGCAGACTTCAACTTTCACTTCAACTCTGTTGGTCGCAATATCTCATACATTATATTATACCTAAAACATAAATGGATCTTCAGAGAGGGAGAGGAGAAATTTTGCAGGATTAGATTTTTTGCTCTTTCTTTGTCTTTGACTTTTGTGGTTCTTTATAGTTTCTTTGAGTAAGAGTTTGTGATGTTTATCACATGAGAGAGAGAGGGTTCATCACTGTGACGGATTTATAGAATAATAATAATAATACTATCTAATATTTATCTTGAAGATCACTTCTTTTACTTCATCTCTCTTATATTTTTTTCAAGTTTGATTCATATGTGAAATAGTAAAAAAACGATCTGGTTGAAGTTTTGTACAGGAGATAAAAGTAACAAAAAACAACAAATTATTACTCCGTATATGAAAAGGAAAATTGGTAAAGTTCTGAAGGACTCAAGTAATATTGGATTTAGAAAATAGAAATGGAGTTAAAGCTCAACTGTTCCATTCCCTTTAATGTTACTTTCCCTTTAGTCCCTTGGTGGTTCAGTTGCCTCTGTATAATAATGCCCGTTTTGCAGTCATTTAGTGCCCATTGCTTTGTTGTCCAGTTTGGATAGCATGTGGGTGGAGGGTAAAACGTTAATTTCACCAGCTTCACATTCAAAGTGTGCACTCATTCATGTCATAACCGATGTATAGAATCTGGGTCATTAGAACTTATAATCGATGTATAGAATCTGGGTGATTCATCTTATTCATATCATATATATTCCCACCTGATATTGATACGGGTGGTAAATTGACATTTACGCTTGTTGATTGGATATTATACAAAAAATACCGATATTAAGTTTTGCAAAAATGTGGATTAATATTATCAATTCTGGGGTGATTTTGTGTGGGGGCGTTTTTAATCTACTACTATAGCATGTGTCTAAGTTAAATGTCAATTACGATGAGTTTTATCCTTGTGACCTTTATCGAGTGTCATAGTAATGTTATATGATTTATGAAACGAAGAGATACTTGATAAATATAATTTTTTTTATTAGATGGTTTAAATTACTATCGCAACATTCAAATAGGGTGTTAATTATGTTAAACGAGGATCTCAGACAATCGCCAGCCCTCGAAACAGATTTAGTGTCAATTACCTCCAAAAAAGCAATATAACTCGTTGATCCTATAAACGACTAAAAGAAGAAAGAGAGAGCTATGTAGTCTGTAGATGTCATGGGGAAACTCTAGCCGCCGTCTTCTCTTTTTCTCTTCTTTTCTTCTCTTCTTTCAATCTTCTTTGATTTCAATAATGAAAAAATATATCCTTAATCAGTGCATTCACTTTTATTCATCTCTTTCTTTCCCAACGTTGTTTGGAGATATTATATTCGGTAGCGAAGTATCGTCTGCCAGATCCATATTCTCCGCCACTTTCGGTCGGACGTTCTTGTGTGCTAAGAAGAGGTTTGCACTGATCTCTTCATCAATCAAAACATGATTTTCTTGTGCGTTGAGATTGAAAAGGATCGCCCCCTCCTGAACGACCGCCTTTCCAGGAAGATGAAATCATTTGGATTGCTTTCTTTCCGGTGGCTGGTGAAATCGGAACAAATTCTACACTTGGCTCCTTACCGGTGGTCGGACAAACCGGGATATTTAAGAATTCTTTTGATAATTATTGTGATCGTAGCAGGAGCAGTCAATATGCAGGTAAAGTCTATTTTTTGCGGGATTAGTGATTCGGCGTTTTCAATTTGAATCGTCTGTGTTGAGTTTAATCCAACACGATATAGTAAATATATGTATAAATGTGTATGAACAAGCTCAGTTTTTACGTGGAAACCCAAAAAGGAGAAAACCACGAGACTTTTTAGGCTAATGACCAAGCCCTCTCATTCTCATTAGGCTCTCCTCCATTACAAAGTACATGTATTGAAGCTCCCATTAATGGAGTACTAAAGCTAGCTCTAAAAGAGGGAGGAAGAAGAAGCTAAAAAGGGATCCCTAAACATGTGGGAAAGCCTTATATTTATAGGGAAAAGGGGTAGGGAATAAGTCTACCCTAATGGGCCAATTGGGCCGAAATGGGCCCAAAGGCCGAAACAGGCCTAATAGGCTTGGAATGGCCTCCGCCATCTAGGCTCTGAATTGGGGTAATATCTTGGACCCTTGAATAGTAGTAAGCCGGGATACTATACCTCAACAGTCCGTTTCTATGTCTCATCTCATTGTAGCCTTGAGCTTTATGATTGTAATGTTTCTTCTCATCTTTATTGATAATAATTAAGTTATTTGTTTTTAAAAAAAATCGTTGATCCTATAGTGGGCATAAATGAGCCAACGACGGTTAAAACAGACCTCCCATCACTCAATCCTAATGCAATAGTCTTACAACAATAAAAGAAATCAACAGAAAAATAAACAGTCTGATCATGAAAAATAAATCGCAAGCAAACAATAATATTAAATAGCACCTTCCAAACTAGGGTTGTAAACGAATTAAATCGAATACTGAGTAATACTATTCGTATTCGTATAACTTGACGAATATTCGTATTCATATTCGGATATTATTCGAATCTTAAATTAGATTCGTATTCGATTCGTTAATGATATTAGAATATATTTGTATTCAAAAATTCGAATTCGAATTCGAATATTTGTAGGGGGAATTTTTTCACACATTCAAATTCTCATGTTTTGTATGTATTTTCTTCGATTTTCGCAAATATTCCTATTAATTGAACTATTTTAAAAAATCAACTACTTCAAAAATCAATTGGAAACCCGTTCAAAATAAAGTAAACATTGTAAAATCAATTAATCAAAAAATCAATTACTTAAAAAAACTATTAATGAAAGCACAAAATTAGTTAAACTAATAAATTTAAATTTAAATTTAAACTAACAAAAAACTATTTTAGTTATTTTAATTTAAATTATTATAAATTATAAATATAAATATAATAATCTAAAATATAATTCATGTATATACAAATCGAATATATGTATATTCGTATTCGTATTCAAATTTTATACGAATAACAAAATCGATTTGTATTCGTATTCGTATTCGATTTTTTCGAATTCGAATCACCAATTTCGAATTCGAATCACGAATCGGATCAAAATTATTGGATTCGTTTACAACCCTATTCCAAACTCTAGCCTCTCTTGCACTTCATGGCGGCGGTTCGAGAGGGGGGCGATTCAGCAGTACTGTAGCTTCTTCTTCACCTTGCCTCTTTTTCATGGATGACTTTGACTCCAGATCTGTTCCAACCACTAGCTCCATGCTTCGTCCATGACCTTTGCGTGCCTGAGACCAAGCATCCGTCTTCCATCCTTGCACAACCTTCGGCCGCTGGAGACCAAGCATCCTCTTCCTTCTGCTTAATCTCGCCAAAGCAAAAGAAAAAAATAGCCGCACAATTGATGGTGGAAGAAGAAACTCGGTACGCGTAAGCCCACTAGCGGCAGCCGTTCCTCGTTACAAACGATAGCGGAGGAAAAAACTCTAGTGGTGGAAACCCACCCTAAGGAAGAAATTACTTGATAAAGATAATAGATCATACATTCTATATTTATTTGTTTTTAATTAACATATACCATTTTTTAAATACTTTACTATTTTCAACACTTTAAGCCTCTTAATTTAAACTTTTTTCTTCTTCTCATTCACACATTTTAATCTCTTACTTTTACATTTTTACATTTTTCACAACGAAATTTCATTCCTAAACTCTAAAATCCTGCAATTAAATGAATATGGAAAGAGAGGTTAAATTGATGAATTGTTATTTTTGGAAATAAACTAGTCTTGTTGAAAAGAAAATGAAATTAACATTCACAAAAAGTATACAACATAGTTTTTGTTAAAAATATTAGTATTATTTTATGTATTCAGCTTTAGAAATATTTATATTAGGTTTTTTAATCAAGTAACCATACATATCCGTGTAGTTTGTAAAATCAAACGACAATACTAAAACTATACACTTATTAAGAGATACACTTTCATTTAAAATATCCTTCTACACCTATTATAGTTGCTTATGATAATGAGTAATGACAATACATTTGACTGAGATAATCAAGGTACTTTGCTTATCAAGGTACGCTATTGAAAATGAAGTTTACATTTATAAGCTCAATAATTCTAAATGAAGAAACCGTCATTAATAATCTCTAAGAAAGAAGTCTACAACAATAATCTCAATTTGTTTAACCACTTCACAAAAATGAACTCTTCACTGAAATGATCTAAAAGTTAACAGATAAACATTTTTTTTTCATTTAGTTTTGCATGTTTAAAGTGAAAATTTTGAAGTATTGATAAGATTATATTGACCCTAAACTTATTTCCATCATAAGTTAATTTTTTTAATAAAATATAGTACACATATTCATGGAATACTCTTTTACTTTTTATTACTTATCAACTTATAAATTTATACGGAGTAACTAGTGTAATACCCGGGGCATGCCCCGGTAGTATTAGGGGATGTATGCAGTAGATTAAAAAAGCATTTCTTGACTGTTGGCTTAAAAAGTTAAAATTAGTGTTTTCATGTGACATTAATTTTGTGTAAAAAGTGTTTTTTACTTTTTGTATTACACAAACACTTATTTTACTTTTCAAAATCATTTTTTTCTCAAACACTACCAATTTTTACTACTAATCACTTTTTTCAAAATCACTTCAAAAAGTGATTTTTTTAAGCAAAAGCATTTGAAAGGTTTGGAGTCTTATTAAATTGTGGAAAAAATTGTGAACAATTTAAAGGTCGTTTGGAACTACTATTTTTCAGCTTATCAGGATTATCAGCCAACTTTTTCACCAAACACATCACTTTTGCTTTCGCGCACTGAATTGTGTAATAAGCAGAAAAAGTAAGGTTGAAGTTACTTTTCTGGCTGTATTGGTTGAAGTTACTGTAGATAACCATTTTAGCTATTTTACATATGATTTTTTCTTTATTTTATTAATAAAATAAATTTTAAAAAATAATTTTTCCTTAAATCAACAGAATTGGCTAATGCGGCCACTTCAGTCACAACTTTATAAATTTGAGCAGAATCAGCCAAATAAGCCGATTTTCTTGTTACCAAACGGGCTCTTAAGTTATACTCCGTATGATATGATCAAAAGTTCGGAGTCTTATTAATTATACTCCGTATTTGACTATTATAGATTTTGTCTAATTGTAATTACAAACGGATGAAATTTTGTAGGGAAAGTTCCTGAAATGGGACTAAAACAGTTTGAAAATTCCAAATTAGGACAGTAATGT